CCGCCAAGCCCCACCGCACTGGCACCCGCGCCCTCTGAAGTCCTTGCCACAGAAGCCCCTTCCTTGCCACAAGTTCAGGCCTCACCCCTCCCTGACTCTTCCCCCCGAACCCAGTTGGGGTCCCCTACCCTGGCCCCCCCACCAACGCCCGTCCTTGACGTGGACGTCTCGCCCACAGAAAAGAGCAAGGACCGCGGCAGCAATACCATCGGCGCCCGCCTGGGCCGGCTGGAAGACAAGGTAGGCGGAGGCCTGGCCGCGGCTCCCTTTGCCGTGGTTGCTGGGCGTTTGGGGGGCTTTCGTGTGCCCCTGCACCCCTCATGACAGCCCACCCTCTCCAGGCGCGCAGGACATGGGTGGTGCTGGGGTCTGTGGGCACATCCCCCAGGGGCACGCCCGGCGGGGCACCCATGGGAGGAGGCCTCGCCCAGGCTGGTTCTTTACCTCTGACAAGTGGCGTCTTTACTGCAAGTGGCGCCCAGTGCCCTCAGGCCCCTCCCTGAGTGACTGAGAGTCGCACCCCTCGCCCCCAGCCTCTGTGGGCTCAGGGACATTGGGGGTGCGTTGGGTGGGGAGCAGGGCCTGTGAGGGCCCCGACTGCACCCAGGGGTGTGGGGTGTCAGCTGAGCCCCGCTGGGCCTCCAGGCGGGACGTGCGTGCCTCCGCTTCAGGGCCCCGGCCCCTGGGCCCCGGGGTGCCCCCACGCCCTGCCAGACCCGCGCCTGCCCAGCCTCTTCCCAGGGCATCCTGGGAGCCGAGGGAGGCCTGGGCAGTGGGAGGGCCGCGCTTTGAAGTCTGTGGTTTGGACGGGCGGTTATCTCGCCGAACAGCTCGTGGGTCTACACGGACTTTATCTGAAAGTAGCTGGGAGACTAAAAATAGAGGAGTTTCGGTTGGGCAGGGGGTGCTGCCCTCGGTTTCCCCGGCAACACCTGGCTCTGGCTCGAGTTCATGGGCTGCAGCTGGGCAGGCGGGGCAGGGGCACAGCCCATCCCACCCGGGGCCTGGGGTCAGGCCCAGAGGGAGGGCTGCTGTCCAGGTGCCCCCGGGGCTGCGTGATGCCTGACCTTGACCTCCCGGAGGGTCTGGCCCCCTTGGTCAGCACAGACCTGTGCAGCCTGGTGCCCCCTCTTCGCAGACCTGTCCCTGTCTGGCAGGATGGGGACAGAGACTGGGACAGGCCTGGGCTCTGCCATCCCGGTGACCGGATCCTCACCTTTCAGCCTCTGAGCTCAGGGCAGGGGCCAGGGCAGGCACACCCTGCACGGACAGGGGCCGAGCCCAGGACAGCAGGCTGGGGACCCCCTGTAGGGGCTTCCAAATGTCGGAGGAGGTAGAGGCTGAGCCAGGCAGCAGACCCAGGCCCCACCCCTGCCTCCTCACCAGGCCTGGAGCGGCCCCTCCTCCGCCCCCGCCTTGCTCTCCGGGCCTTTCTCATGGCTCCCTCATGGCTTCTCAGGACAGACTGGAGCCTGGTGTCCTCTGGGGGGAATGATAGTGGGGGGGCGACAGGGTCCCCCTGGAGCAGTGNCGACAGGGTCCCCTGGAGCAGTGCCCCTCCCTGGGCTGGAGGGGCAGCCACCTGGGGGTCTGAGAACCAGGACCGGCCCTCTGTGGGCCCAGGTCAGTGTGGTGGGCTGCAGTGAGGCCAGCGCTGGCCTTGGGTACCAATCACATTCTGCACCCGTGGCACTAGGGAGGCTGGTCTGCACCGTCTCCATCCCCCCGGGCTGCCCATGGAGGAGGGGTCACCTGCCTGGGTCTCNGCGACAGGGTCCCCCTGGAGCAGTGCCCCTCCCTGGGCTGGAGGGGCAGCCACCTGGGGGTCTGAGAACCAGGACCGGCCCTCTGTGGGCCCAGGTCAGTGTGGTGGGCTGCAGTGAGGCCAGCGCTGGCCTTGGGTACCAATCACATTCTGCACCCGTGGCACTAGGGAGGCTGGTCTGCACCGTCTCCATCCCCCCGGGCTGCCCATGGAGGAGGGGTCACCTGCCTGGGTCTCTGGGTGGTGGACAGGGCCACACTGTACACTGAGTCTTGGCCCCACGCTGTCCATCCAGGAGCCCATGGAGAGGCCCTAAGCCCCGGTGGAGGCCGCAGAGGGCCGTGGCGGTGGCCCAAACTGCCCAGCCCCTCCCCTGCGCTGACCAATGCCCCCCTTGGGGACAGACCCTGGGAAAGGGCCTGGCCAGACCCAGAGGGCAAAGTGGCACGTCCTGGGCCCCATGTTATCGCACTTATCACTGCCGCCATCAGGACCATAAACAACCCCCGCGCAATCCTGCTGACTGCGGGAAGTTGGGGCAGGAAATCCAGCAGCCGCCTGGCCCTCGGAGGCCCAGCAGGCCTGCAGCAGTGGCCTGGCCGGCCCGCCGCCCACCCCGGCCAGAGCCCCCCTGCCTTC